TGGGCTTCATTTGGTTTAATACACTACAGCTTCTTAAATCCTGGCGAAACCATCAATGCTGAATCATACTGTAACCAAATTAATACCATGCATCAGAAATTGGCAGTAATGAAGCCCTCTTTGGTCAATCGGAAAGGGCCCATTTTGTTGCATGACAACGCTCGACCACATGTGTCACGTGTAACGTCACAAAAATTATTGGAGCTTGGCTATGAAACTTTGCCTCACCCACCCTACTCTCCGGACCTCTCGCCTACTGACTACCATTTTTTTAGACACCTGGACCACTACTTACAACACATAATATTCAAAAATCAAACGGAACTGGAAAATGCATTTATTGACTTTATCAATTCTAAAAATTCTGAATTCTACTCAGACGGAATTAATAAGTTACCAACACGTTGGGAGAAATGTATTGAGAGTATGGGAAATTATTTTGATTAAAGAACATTGCTTTAAAGTAACTAGTTTCTTTTTTTTTGTTTAATACCAAAATCCTGCATTATTTTCCGGACAACCCAATATTTGTAATGCTCTTTTTCTTTTCTTTTTTTCTCAGGAGGAAGCATTGCGCATTGATTCTAATTTCAACTGCGTCCCTCTTGTATTAATTCGTTTTTTAAATTAAATAATTATTTTAGCCTATTTCAAAGTTTTAGTCAACTTTTCAGTTAACTCTAATTAACTTCTAGTACTCTTTGTAATTCAGCTCGAAACTTTTTTTATATGGTATTAACGATGAAATTGAATTAAAAAAAGCATCAAATGACAAATAGATTATCTTAACTGTTTAAGGGAGCGTAGTTGACTAAGTATAGTTCAATTTAATTAGGTAGCTTTTGAAGTAATATTTGCTTGTCGAATTATTAGATGATCAAACGATTACGCGTAAAAGGTTGGATGATGATGATGTTTATAAGTGGATACGAGGAAGCACTGACGCCTTTTGGCTTATTGAACTTTTCCTAGTTCCTTAGTTCTGCTAAATTGTCTTGATACTTATTTTAAGAAGTTGTTTGAACTTTTTGCAAGGCCTTCTTGGCCTTACGATGCCTCCATTGAGCGATACACATCTGAATGGCAGTTTCTTCCTCTTCATAGGATAACCTAGAAATGAGGTCTCTATTGAATATACCCATGCGTAAATGTTCGCGCCAAATATCGCGAATTATAATTGTTTAGTTGTTTTTTTCCCCCCAAATGCCGCTAATCTAAAATCCACATCTAGATAATCCTATCCTAGCTCTGCTCCCACCTCACAATCCTTCTTTTGTCTAGTTCTGCGTCCTGTTCGTTTACTGTTCGCTTCCGGATCGCTTCTATTCGAATCCATTATGAGGTATCGATGTGATTGATTAAAAGAAATTAATGATTAAGTAAATAAATTAATGGTTAAACGTAAACTTTTTATCCACCGAATAAACTGATACCATGAGGTTCCAAGCATTAGACGTGCTTCGAATAATTTTTTGAATGTTGAGAATCAACTATTGTGTTGTATCTTGTTTAGATAAACAGATAAACTTGCAAATCTTTTGTATATTTTGTGTCAAAAATTATGTTCTCGAGTAAAAACCAAACAAAAAACAAATCTCTTATCCAATTCTCACTGCGGGGATAATCGGTTAGTTTTTTTTTAAAGTTGGGCAACGGTAAAATTTTGAGTTCATCATTTCCCAAGGACAAAAAAAGCGATAGTGGGAAGTGCGTAAACGCCCATTTTTTCATATTAAACTATAATAGACGAAAAATCGCAGCGGTTTCCTTTCTAATATTATTGCAAAATAGAGTAAAATTGACCTAAACTGTTTTAAATATTATTTTATGTGGTGTTTAGTGACCATTAGTTAATGATTATTTGTAGATCGGGAGATGCGATCTGGTGTGGCGTAGGTTTTAGACAAACATTGTCTTTATCGTGTCAATGTTTCGATCTTCATTGAGAACATCTTCAGGGTCTGGATGTAGGATGTGAAAAAAATGAATTTATATTATGCTATAAAATTTTAGATTTAAAAAAATTTTCAAGCATTGTATAAGTTCATTTTTTTAAATCTTAAATTTTCTAGCGTTGTATAAATTCATTTTTTTTAATCTAAACTTTTCTAGCATATTTTTCACATCCTACAAGTATTTTTAAAATTAAAACAATGTTTATAAATCCCAGACAAACACTTTGAGTGAGTAGAAATACTTTGTTTGAATATAAAATATATTTAGCATTGTATAAATTCACTTTTCCACATCCCAAATGTATTTGTTAAATGTAAACATTGTTTGTAAATCCCAGGCCCTGAAGATGATCTCAATAAAGATCGAAACGTTGGCTCGATAAAGAAAATGTTTTTCTGAAACCTACATCACACCAGACCGCATCTCACGATCTACGAATAATCATTAAATATTATTTTTGTATTAAACAACCGCCTTCGTTGCACTGGGTAAAACTAGTCTCATGATATTCATGAAGTACTTCAAATATTTTTATTAATGTTGCGAATCGAGTTTTCAGTGTGTCTCCTTGCTTGATTCCTTGCTGTTTTGAAGACTTTCCGAAGTCAAAAATCTCCACCCTTTACACCAAGAGGAATCCACGTGGAACATTTTTTGGCGTATATCGCCCGTTAATGTCGATAAGAAAATCGATTCTCTTAAAAATTTGTATTTTTCACCTTCAGGTACACTTTTCTCGAAAACCTTTCATCATAGTGAAACAATTATTTTATCATTTTGTAGAGAAATAAAAAGCAAATATCGTCGCGAGCAAAAAAAAAGCGTTTTTCTACTGAGGGTATCTTTATGTTAGGAGATTATTTTAGATACAGATTATTTTAGAGTTTCTTTAATGCTCATACGAAAAATGTGCATTCTTTGAAGCATGATTATTTACCAAAACACAAATACTTACACAAAAGCTTATTCATGAAGTCAAAAAAACAAAAAACAAAAAACTTCTAAAGTACACAATCTCAAACACACGGACACAAAAGGAAACAACAAAGTAACCCATAATGATACGAAGACACAGAGGACACCTATTCTCGACTCCTTCTCACTTGACTTTTTCAGAAACAACAAAAGGACAAACGAACGAAGAATAGTCGGGTCGAAGCGCGAAAAATGTTTCTGCGCGTAATATTCTTCGGAACAGGGGAGCGGGATTAAAAAAATAATCTTCACTATTAAAACACAAAATCAAACTTTTATTAGCTACAAGGAAATCGATACAAACAAAATAACAACAAACAAATAGAAAAGCTAAAAAATAACAATTTTTGACTTAAAAAGAATGGCAAAGATTTCTTTTGCAGTATCGCATGTTTTTCTAAACTCATTTTGAAATTGTTGTCACTTTTCATCATATTTGATGAATGGGCCGACCAAAATGTAGATTACTATTAGCAAAATATAAATTGTATTTTTAATTTTTTACTGTCATGTTTGAAAGAAGAGCCCTGCTAAAAATAAACTGTTTAAAGTTTTTTCTAGATTGATAAGTTTTTACAAATCCAGGGATGACACGTTTCCAAGAAAAGTATGTAACTATCATTTTTTGGGTATATAATTGATGATTAAATAAAAATAACGTTTGGAAATAACAAAATAATAGCGTCCAATTAAGAAAAAATAAAAAGAATTGCTCTTGGAGAGTAACTATTATTTTCTAAATGCCGGCTGCAATTTATATTCCAATTTTATATTGGAAAAAAATGGAAAAAAAATAACATAAAATAGCACCCTGGGCCCATTGGAAAGAACCTTTGGACATTTTTCTAATATATATAAATATATATTTAGCGATGCATAAAAATTCGGTAAGATGAAGTTATATATATATATATATATATATATTGGCCTGGTATAAAAAGTTGTTAAGCTTAAATCTGGGTAGTCGTAACCGATTTTTTCGTTATGTCGTGTTGAACATTCCACGCATCATTCCTCAGATTTGAAGACTATGATATCCTCCAAAAAAGTGTTCCAGTAAAAAATGACTTTACCTCCATCTTACCGAATTTTTATGTATCGTTTAAACCTACTTCAAAAAGGGCATTTAGGCTAATAAAGAGGTTTCATAAAATTCGGCCCACAACTTGAAAAAACCTCAAAGAAGCCTTCATATAAAAATGTCGTTCTATCCCGACTTCCTTCCCCACCCCTTCAAAATTCAACGTATATAAACATAAAACATCAATATTTCACTGGCACTCTCAACACGACATCGCAGACAACAAACACTTTGAGTGAGTACAAATACTTTGATTGAATCTAAAATTTCTAGTATTGTATAAATTCACTTTTTTCCACATCCTACATGTATTCGTAAAATTTAAACCATGTTTTTAAATCCCAGGCCCCGAAGATGATCTCAATAAAGATCGAAACGTTGTCACGGTAAAAAAAATGTTTTTCTAAACCTTCTTCACACCAGACCGCATCTCATGATCTCCAAATAATCATTGGCTAACGGTCACTAAACACCACACACACAAACGTGAATAAAGTTTGATTGCACTTAACTACTCGAAATGGCGATGGCTTAGTTCTGTTGTTCTTTATTACACCGATCAATGATGATCACTTCTAAGATTTGAAACAATGATAAAAGAAATAATTTCATGTCCATGCTTGAATGATGGATTAATGACATATTTATACGTATTGTTCTGTTTTAGTCCTTTATGCTCAGAAAGCCATATAATTAAGGGTTATGCAAAACTAAGCAGGCCGGTTTCTGAAGTGGGTACGAATACATTTAGAATTAAGCCCATTATAATGTAATAACTGTTGGAACAAGTATTAGAGTAATGAAGTAACCACTCGACGTTAATATACCAAGCCAAGAATTTGGACAATCCTTGGGCTGTATTATTAAAAAGTGGAATAAATTGTGAAAATCCTTTCTCACGAGGAAACCACTATTTTCGACAAGCCAGTTATGCTTGTACGAATGTAATTTAAAAAAATAAAGTATATAATATAAGGCAATTACTTACCACCGACAACTCTGCATGTCAACGTCACTTCGTCTCCTTCGTCGTGAGGGCCAATCGTCGTATTGAGCTGTTTTCCCCACTTGTCGAATACCGCTGGATATTCAGGAGGGACTGGAATAAACATTAATTCTCATTAAAAAAAGTAGTGTATTTTTATAATTATACTAAATCATATTGCTAAATAATTTTCGTTATGTAGTAATACAGTTTTTGCTTTGAGATGGCTGATATCATGAAAGCTTTGCATCTTGGGCAAAAGGAATATTTAGGTATTTATGGGTCGTTTGATACATAAAATGGAGCATCAAGGATTTTTCTGAGGATTAAAGATGAGCAGTTTGGATATGATGAATAATTGAACGTTTGTTCGAATTATTGCGCTTTGCTTACTTTAGTTGAGGGGAGGATTTTACTAAAAAGAAACTAGAGGAGGTAACTTTTTGCGAAGAGTACTGGGTTAACAATTCGTCTGTTCAACGTTTAACATGGTCGTTTGATCAGAAAGCTTATCTAACTCATCTGATAAAAAATTCTATCAAACTAGATTGATAAATATGTTAACAACCTCGTCTGGTCGAAAACTTAACAAACTCGTCCGATCCAAAAACTTAACAAACTCGTTACGTAAATCAAAAAGCTAAACAAACCCATTTGATAAAAAATTTAACAAACTCGTCTAATCAAAATCTTTAAAGGCTATTCTGTTCCAAAAGCTTAATAGACTCGTCTTTAGAAAGTTAAATTACATTTGTACTATGAACTAATGTAATGTATACTAATAATATATTAGGTTTTATATTGAGATTTTCAACGGTCATTTCGTTGGATACATTAAATGGAACGTCAAGGATTTTTCTGCACAGTTTGGATGCGACCAATATTTGAATGTTTCGCTGAACCTCACGCTTCCAGTAAGTCCATGCCGGGATTCAATAATCGGTTATATAGCATTTTTTAAAGGTAAGTCAGAGCGTGTATCCAGGAATCGTGAAAGAGCTTTGTATTGTGTTATAACAATGACAATGTTCGTCCACAATGACAGGATTCCACGTTAGATGTTTGTCTATGTACAGTCCTTGGTCTGTCCTTTTCCGCAGTTGAAAGGGGGATATTATTTAAGTAAACTCGAGTAGAAATATTATTGCGGAGAGGTCTGCGTTAAATTTTATTATTTTATTTTCACGCCACGACTCCACTAGTGTAAAGTATTGAAGGTTTCGAGTGGAAACGACAGGATCTGAGTTACTTGAGAGGATCGCTGTGTCGTCTGTAAAGGTCCGGGAGGATTGAGGATGGAATGGGTTGTCTGCTGTGTACACCTGTTAAAGTGTGAGGGGCAAGACGCTAAAAAAAGCTGAAATTTATTTATTATCATAAAAATAATTTAACGAGTACGACTATAAAAGTTTACATGCTAAGTAAGACAGCGTAAAAATTCAAATTGTAAAAAAATAATTATAATTAAACACTGTAATGGAGACACCATAAAAACCCGACGAGGAAAGATAAGAACTAATTGAATTCATTTTATTCATCCAACAAAATTAAACGTAGTTTAATAGAAATAATTTTAGGAAGAGGAAAATCGTAAAATCTCTATTTCCTGCTGCATTAAAAAATAGGAGCTATGCGCCAACACATCGAATTATTTCAGTTGAAACTTCTTGATACGATCAAAAAAGTTATTAATTTTTTTATATTTATTATAAGTAGGGAGTGTATTGGAAGTGAACTCAGAGCACGAAGACGGTATTGAAATCTGGGGGTAATCCTCTGACCCTCAGAGGTAGTTTGTTTAAATAAGGTCCAACAGTCGAGGGATTTCTAGCAAATTCGAGCTTACACTTGGCCCTTTTGGCATTAACATAGCGCTACTTTTTCCGACCTAGTCGTTTACAAGGTGGTTGTGGTGCAATGTTTTTAGTCTCTTGGTCAAATCCTTAATGCACAGTTTTTCTAAAATGTTTATTATTATTCGGTATTAACATACAAAATTGGCAGTTTTTATAGGCTAAAATATTAAGTAGCTCAGATATTATTAGCAGCGTCTATTTAAATAAAAATTCGTTTTATTCAATAAATTTTACCTGATTCTAAAAAAACGCTCTAAATTATATATCCGAAGCTTCCTTGCGTATGACTGTGTGGTATCCAAACGCTGGTCGAAACATGGGTGAAGGTAATGAAAAAATGATTTATTAATTTTCATTCCACTTTTAGATAAAAGCTTTGTGCTAAAAGGGCTTTTCACACAAGTAAGTTGTTTGATCAAAAAACTAATTTGAACAAAAAACTTTACATACTCGTTTGATAAAACAAACTTAACCAACTCTTTTGATCCAAAAACTTACCTAACCCTTCTGATAAAAAATTTAACAAATTAATTTGAGCAAAAACATAACAAACTAGTTTGGTGAACCAACTAACCAACTCTATTGATCAAAAACATACAAAAAACTACTTAGATCAAAGAATTTGACCGACTCGTTTTATAAAAAACTTAACTGGTCTGAAAAAAAAGGCACTCAGTATATAAAAACATGACAAACTAGTTTGCCAACTAACCAACTCTATTGATCAAAAACATACAAAAAACTACTTAGATCAAAGAATTTGACCGACTCGTATTGTAAAAAACTTAACTGGTCTGAAAAAAAGGCACTCAATATATAAAAACATAACAAACTCGCCCGATAAAAGAAAACATGACGAATTTTTGATTAAAAAGCTTAAAAAACTCGTCAACAAAAAACATCAATTATGGTTAACTTAGCCAGTATTATCCGATCCTTGGTTTCAAGTACTTGTTTTGACTTAGCCTTTCTTTACTATTATTACCTAAGCACCTTAATTATGGCGTGTGGTTGGACATACGACCAAATCTTCAAATTAATTGAGGTTGTACGATACATTTAAAGTAAACTCGAGGAGAAAACTTATTGCTGAGAGGTCTGCGTTAAATTTTATTGATGAACTTTTTATGTAAAATTTTGGTTGAAATGAAACAGTTAGTGCCACGAGCGGGATTCGAACCCACGACCTTCGGCTCTACCACTTGAGCTATCGTGACTTCGATCCTCTCAGGCACCAACTCCCCATTTCAACCTACAACCTTTCGAATTTTCCTTCCGGTGTCCGAATGGATCGAAATCACGATAGCACAAGTGGTAGAGCAGCGTCGTATTTAGCCGAAGGTCGTGGGTTCGAATCCCGCTCGTGGCACTAACTTTTTCATTTCAACCAAAACCTTATATAAAAATATTTATTTAGAAATCGTGAGATGCGGTCTGGTGTGATGTAGGTTTCAGAAAAACATTTTCTTTATCGTGTCAACGTTTCGATCTTTATTGAGATCATCTTCAGGGCTCAGGGCACTCTCGACACGACACGCAAGAATGATACAATTACACAGAAGACAAACACTTTGAGCCCTGAAGATGATCTCAATAAAGATAGAAATGTTGGCACGATAAAAAAAAAGTTTTTCTGAAACCTACATCACACCAGACCGCATGTCACGATTTCTAAATAAATATCGATTAACGGTCACTAATCACCACACGTTTCTTACATAAAAAGATTACTTAATTAAAAGAAGTAATTTGGTCAATAGACCACTAAATATAATGGATTTATTGATAAACACCCCTTCTACAAGTCCCGAACTGCGACTGTACTCTTGTCTCATACATTTTCAAAAAATAAAAAAAATAGACAAATCTTGCAGCATTATTCAAAACCTGTTTTCTTCTTGATGGTCCGAGATCCAATATGCAGCTTCAGCTAGCACAGATTCCTCGGCTAAAGTTAACTCGCTTCTGCAAATTGTACACTGGCTTCCAGAAATAGTACGGTTTCTAAGCGAAAAAAATTATTTATAAAGCATAAACCTTTTTAAAATTCAAAAGATAATGGTTAAAATGTAGTATTAATTGTATTATTAGATTTTATAATAGATTACTAAACAAATTGGAGTTAATTTATGGAAATATATATTTTATATAAATTCTGATGCATTCTGTTGATTTTCCTACCTATAAATAACTTTGCGTTGAAGGGAGGAATGATTTTCTTTCCTCTTTAATCTCAATACATTAATATAATGAAGCTTTGCGATGAACATTAATTTGATTACATAAAACTTCAATTTGGTTTAAGCACTTTATAAAATTGGTAAAATATTTGGTACGGAAAGAACAAAAACGAATTATGTCAAAGTATGTTAATTTAATTTATGAATAATCAGAACCACGGGTATATCATAATTTACTGGTTGGTTGAATATCAGCCAATTGGAAAAAAATTAAAGTGAAAATTGTGGATGGATTATTTGTTTGAAAACGTCGCAAATGTTTTCCACTTTTGTAAATCAAAATGATTTATTGTGAAAACGTTACTAATTGTTGTTGAGAGTTATATCAATGGATGTTTTATAATAAGCGTACAATAAAAATCGAGCTCATAACAATAAGGTCAATTTAAGAGGGCCCGAAGCCACAATGTTCCCATGGAATAATGAGATGGACATTTTTCTTCTCTTTTATTCTTCGGGAAAACAACGACGACGACGTCCCGGCCCCTCTTGAGTTTTATTTAATCAAATAAGTTTTTTACGACTCAAAAATCTTTATAAGAATTTATCGGGTTTTCAGGTTTTATAGCCGGAATTAAGATAAATACAAGCAATAAATATAGGTAAATATTAACAGAGGTCAATAATTGCCTAACCCTCGAATAGATACAGACCGACACTAATGGCCTGCATTACCGTGACCGGTTCTGCAATAATAACCAAGGGCCGATTACTTCATCCGCAACGAAGTAGTCCTATTAATTCCTATTATTGTATCTAGTAAATTGAATTGTCAAATTGATCAATGACCAGAGAATTAATACAACCTCCGTCCTGATACAACTATACAATAAATAATTAACTATGTGTAAAATACTGTTTAATTTACAATAACTTCATTAGATTTGACTCAATTTCTTCTAGGGAGACTAGATGATGTGTCCTATCCTTTGACAGTGATTAACCTACTCTAAATGACTCTTTTAAATAAATTTTAAAATATCAAACAGTAATGTAAGATAGATACATACTAAAATAT